CGGGTATAATAAAAACCAAAAGAGCTGCGGATGCTGTAAATCAGGAACAAAAACAAAGTTGCAAGAAAAGCTCAGCAGGTCTGGCAGCATTTGTGAAGGAAAAAAACAGTTAACGTTTCAGGTCCAGTGACCCTTTAAGCTCTGGTATAAACTTGCTTAATAGGATTGTAGAATAGCATACCATTGATGACTACTATCCAGGCTTATCTGTCCTTTTGTGCTAATTTTAGGAACATGGTTGAAGGGAACAGAATTCACACTGGAAACTTAATGATAACAAGACAGTGGGAAGGGGTGGATTGCAACTTATTCAAAATGTTACATGTAAAATTCAGCCCTCTATTTTTAGATTAATATTAACTTTTTTGCAATAGGAACAGTTCGGAAAGGTTTACTCAATTGTTCCATGGAATGAAGACATTATCTAAGAGACAAGGTTGGGCTGATTCACCTTGTATCTGTTAGGGTTTAGAGAGATGCGTTGTGAAGCTTATAAGATTCTGAGTGGACTTGACAGGCCAGATGCTGAAAGCACATCCTCCTTTTGGGAGTGAGTACAACTAGGGGACTCAGTTTCTTTTAAAAACAAAAAAGGCCTCCAATTTAAACTAGAGATGACGAGTTTTTTTTCCTCATACAGAGTCCATAAGATCATAATAAATAGGAACAGGAGTAGTCCATTCAGCTCCTTAAGCCCCCTCCTCTACTCATTAAGATCATGGCTGACCTGATGTTCCTCACATCCACTTTTCCTGCATTTTCTTCATAACCCTTGATGCCCTTATTGATTAAGAATCTACCTCAACCTTAAATATACCCATGGACTCTTCCCCACAGCTCTCTGTGGCAAGGAGTTCCAAAGATTCTCAATCCTCAGAAGAAATTTCCCCTCATCTCAATATTAAATTCGTACCCCTTTGTGCTGAGACTGTGTCCTCTGGTCCTAGACTCTCCATGAGGGAAACATTGTCTCAGCATTTACCCTGTCAAGCCCCTTAAGAATCCTATATGTTTCAAAGAGATCACCTCATGATCTGCTGAACTCTAGTGCGTAAAGTCTCAAACTGTTTAACTTTTGCTCATAAGACAATCCCTACATACTTTGGCTCATCTTAGTGAACCTTCTCTGAACTGCTTCCAATTAAATGGTATCTTTCCTTAAATAAGGGGACAAAAGCTGCTTAGTGTACTCTGTGATCTCACCAGCACCTTGTACAGTTACTGTAAGAGTTCTCTACTCTTCATCCGAGTGCTAGCTTTCTGTTTCATGCACAAAATCCCGCCCCGTACCTTTTCTGTTGCAGCTTTCTGCAGTTTTTCTCCATTTAAGTAATACTCTCATTTAATTCTCCATTCCCAAAAAGAACAAATTCAGATTTTCCCACATTTTATTCTATTTGTCAATTTGTATTAACCTATCAATATCTCTCTGAAAACTGTATGTATCTGTCTAGCAACTTGTCTTTCCATGTATTTTGTGTTGTCTGCAAATTTTGTAACAGTACTTCTGTTTCCTTCCTCTAAGTCATTAATATGCATTGTAAACTTTTGCAGTCCCAGCACTGATCCCTGTAGAACTCCAGGTTATGGGTTGCCAGCTGGAAGGGTCCTGACCTGAAACGTCAACTCTCCTGCTCCTCTGATGCTGCCTGACCTGCTGTGTTCCTCCAGCTCCACACTGTATTGACTCTGATTCCAGCATCTGCAGTTCTTGCTATCTCCCTTATCCCCACTTGCTGTTTCCTTCCTGTTAGCCAGTTCTCTATAAGTGCCAATCTGCTACCTCCAACACCATGGGTTTTTATCTTGTGACTTAATCTTTTGTGAGGTACCTTGTCAAACACCTGCAAGTCCAAACACACTATATCTACAGTTTCTCTTCTATCTTATCTGATCTGGATTTCCTTGAAAAACTCTAATAAATTTCCCTTTCATGAAGCCATGCTGACTCTGCTTGATTTAGATTATGATTTTCCAGATGTGTTGCTATTACTTCCTCATTGGATTCCAACATTTTTCCAATAATAAATGTTAGGCTAATTGGACTGTAGTTACCTGCTTTTTGCCTCCTTCCCTTTTTGAATGGGGGTATCACATTGACAGTTTTCCAATCCTCTGATACTTTTCCAGAATCCAAGAACTTTTGGAAAATTACTATCAATGCATCCACTGTCTCTGTAGCCACTACAGAGATGCAAGCCATTAGGGCCATTGAGCGTATCTGTCTACAACCCTATTTTAGCGATGGTCCTTAATTCGTCCCTCGTATTCTTTAGTATTAATGGGAAGTTTGAACTAACTTCCAGTCATTTAGTGTGTCGAATTCTCTCCCCCAGAGTACTATGGAGTCAGTCATAGAATGTTTTTAAGACTGAGTTAGACCTATTCTTAATACATAAGGAAATAAAAGGTTATAGAGGTAGAAGTATAGATAGAAAAGTAGAGCTGAGGCCCCAATCGGATTAGCTGCAATCTCATTAAATTGTGGTGAAGACTCAAGGGATCAAATGGCCTATTCCAGCATCTGGTTTGTAATTTCATTGGTATCAAGTGGTTTCAGTGTCTCATAGGGTTGCATAACATACAAATGTTAAACAGTTACCTTGTAAACTTAACGTGAGTACAGCTAAATAGATCTGCAGATCTTGCCCACTTCTAACATTTCATTGAATATGAAGTAATATTGAATTATACTGGTGAAGTTGTTTATCAACTGCAGCCATAATGTGCACATTTACCTCTGTTGATAAGGTAGCTCATTAACTTAGCTTTTTGACAGGCGGAAAGTGCAATTCAGAAAGTGAAGGAGACCTGTAATCCTGATGAAGTACTGAATGACATGAGGGGATAAAGGGACGGTAATTTCTGGCAATGGCAGATATCTTTGTTGAATATCACTACGATGAAATGTTTGAATGCTAAAGTTTGAGAAGCTTAACATGTAACATAGTACCAAATTAAAGTAAGTGACCTTCAAATACTTCGTTAATTTAAGTCCTGTTGGTAGAATAGAGACAGTTTGTTTGTATATTTTATATATATTATGTGTATATATATAAAATAAAAATAGCATTTTATTTCCAAATACCTTGATGATAAAATTATTTATGAAGTATTCCCATTTTTCCTGCCATCTATAATGCCTGTAGGTGGTGATGTAAAGGCCCTTTACGATTGTTGCGGAATACTGGGTCCATATAACAATATTGTGTACTAAATATTGCTCTTGAGGCACTATGCACTTCTACACTGAAGCTATCTTGCAGCAAACTAGTTTCTTTGTATCTAAAGTGAAATAATTGGTTCTAAACATGCATAAAACATCTGTGAATTATGCTAACAAAAATAGAAAATGCTGTAATTAGTAGATCAGATAGTATCCAAGACTGAGTAAACTGTGAACATTTCGGGTCACTTATCTTTCAACAAAAATTATAGAAGTTAGAGATTTAGCAATTTGGCAAAAGCAGAAGCAAGGAAAAAGAAATGAAGGACAGGAAATAACAAAAGCAAATTTTTATCTTCAGGTGGAAGGTAAAGTCAATTAAAGGACAAAAAGGATACCACTGTGAATTAAAAGTGGATGTTTCTTTTCTCTTATTGTCAGACCAGACCCTGCTCTTCAAACTTGTGAATTTCTCTTGCAGATTGTAATAGGGGAAAATAATGACATTGTAGTTGTCATAATTTTATAAAACCAAGCAATTATTCATCAGTATTTAATGAGGCAATCTCCAAGATGCTTAGTGTTAAACACGACCACACTGAGGAGTCGACACATGGTTGGCATCAGTTTGTCTTAATTCTGCCTCCTGCACTGGAAATATGCCTGAATTGGCATATAGTACATTTGGTGGTCATAAGACAAAATTGTTAACATTTTTCTGTAAGAAACCATCCTGTTGTTTACTGTAGTGAAATACCAAAGGCAAGTATGCATTGAGAGAACTACTGCAACCACTTCCATTCTTCTTTCACTACCCTCTTCCAAATAAGGACAAGCCAGATCCTACCTTAGATTATCTCCCTCCCTTGTTCTGCCCAGATTATTAGTGATGAATGAATTTTGATAATTTAAGAGTGGAATAAAATAAAAGCAGGCATAAGCCATAAGCTCCTTGAGCCCGCAATATCATTCAATCAACTTATGCTTGATATTTAATCTCAACTCCTCTTCACACACTATCTCAATATCCTTTTATTCCTTTCGAGTCCAATAATCTATGGCTTTCATTTTTAGTTAAACTCAACAACAAATTCTGAACAGTTTGTTAGAATAGAGACTTCGAGAGGTTCCCGATCTTCCAAGTGAAGAATTTTCTGCTCATTCTAGTTCAAAATTGTCCACCCCTAATCTTGAGACTCTATGCCTGACCTCCCAATCCCTAGGTTTACAACACACTAGCCCCAGAAAAAACATTATCTTGAACGTTTCCAGAATGATGTTAAGTTTTGATGAGGTGATCTTTTGTTCTTTTAAATACCATAGAATATAATCAATCCTACTTGGTCTCTCACGAAAATGCAGTCACTCCAAGAATCAGTACAATGCACCTTCATTGCGTTCCCTTTTTTAGAGCAGAGATACAGTATTTTACAGATTTACTTGTATAATTATTTGATTTATTATTCAACACGCAAACATGTTTGTATATAGGCAGAGGTTTTACCTGTATGACAGCAATGTTGAAAACATTTTTGTCTTTGAAATACTTTGGAACTTCGTGAGGATGTGAAAGGTACTATTTAAAAATTTAAGGTATCACCTCAGCTCACACCCACCATTCCTATGTTTTCTAGCAGTTTCTGACATTGTAAGGTGGTCTATTTGGGTCACCTTACTTTATGTGTAACGTACTGAGAGACTTTTAGGTTCATTGTTTTCTAACCTAGTTTGTGCAACTGTTGCAAGTTTTTGTGTGTGGCTGAGTCAACATTTTTCAAATGTTGCTGACTGGCAAATTTTCAACTGTTAATTCATGTTTTATTTTAATCTGCAGGAAGTAGATAGGCTCAAGCTTGCTGCGAACTTCGGAAAACTTTGCACGATCCCCCTAGACAGTATTCTTATGAACAATGTTGCATTACAATTTTTCATGGGTAAGTGCTTTCTTAAACTCCTGCATTCAGCAATAATTAGGGATATAAATATTAAATGTTTAAGTAGAGTTTAGATTCTGACATATTTCTACAGTGGAAGTAAAATTAAGTTTTAAGTTTTCATTTAATTTATTAGTGATTATAATTTCTTTCCATTTCACTAAAGTAATATGTTGCAAAATTGCATCATGCTTTTTTTAAAATGAAATGCACACAATCCAAACCTGTGCAGGTTAGGTGGATTGGCCATTCTAAATTGTCCACAGAGGCCAACAATGTGCAGGCTAGTTGGGTTAGCCATGGGAAATGCAGGATAGGTTTACGGGGTTAGGGTTTTGTTGTGGGGCTGAGGGGTTGGGGGCTGAGAGAGAATCTGGGTGGGATGCTCTTTGGAGGGTTGGTGTGAACTTGATGGGCTGAATGGCATCTGTCCACCTAACAGGAATTCTGTGATACTATATAATCTATATATCAATGTTATTCACCACAATGCACCATACTTCAGCTGCATGTAACGAATTTAGACAAACTTTGTGAAGTGACTGTACATTATATCCTTCAAGGCTGCATGTTTGTGACGTACTTCCTTCAAGTTTTCAAGGTACCTGTGCTTGATGATTCAGCAAGAAGCCTCTGTGCAAGTTTGCCTGTGCTTCAAAACATCTAGGAGTTTCGTTTTTTGAATAGACTGTGAGCTTTGCCAAGATCACAGAGGATGTCATTTGAAAGGTTTTTTTTTTTTTTGCAGTTAACATGCTATAGCAGTACGTAGTGTGAGGGATTTATGACCCGTTGCAAATTGTTTTGCCTCTATGTAAGCATAAAAAAGTACTTAATACAGAGCACGACTAATGCTGATAGTTGGTTTGAACTAGACTCCAACATCTTGCAATAATACAGAGCCTTTAACTTCGGATGGATTTAGTGATGTGATCCTTATTACTGAATTTCCAGCCTTTGACCTATACTTGTAGTTCCTATATTTATTTGATTGACGTAGTTAAGACTGTGACCAGATCTTGTTACGTATAGGTACGGACTGCTTTAATATTTGAGTTGCTATAGAAGATTGAAATAATCAGCAAATACCCCACACTTGACACTATTGTGGAGGAAAGATCACTGAAGGAACAGTTAAAGCTGGTTAGGCCTAGGACACAACCCAGAGGAACACATGCGATGATACCCTGGGGCTGTGATGATTGGCACCCAACGTCCACAGCAATCTCCCTTTGTGTTTGGTATGACACTGTCCAATAGAGAGCTTTTCCTTCTATTCTGATGTACTTGGAAGCAGAGACAAAAAAGAACCAGTGGATGTGATTTGAATATTCCATACGGCTTTCGATAATGTTTTAAATAAAAGTAGAGTGTATAGGATCAAAAGGGATATTTTAGCACGGATTGAAAATTGGTTCATGAGCAGAATACAGAATAGAAATAAACAAACGGTTTTCAGGATGGCAGGCTGTTACTAGTGGGATACTGCAATGGTCAGTGTGAGGTCCACAACTATTGACAGTCTATAAACAATTTGAATGTGGAGAACAATTATAATATTTCAAAATTTGCTGGTGACACCAAATTAGATGGAAACGCAAGTTGAGGTGGCTATAACGAGGCTTCAGGAGGATTTGGACAAGTTAAGTGGACTGGAATATGGCCAATGGAATATAATGTGAATAGATGTAAAATTATTCTTTCTACAGGAATTTTTTATATTGGGAGAAAAAAACCAGAAATGTAGAATATTTTGAAAATAGTGAGCAATTGTGAAATTCTGGTGTCTAAATGGACCTCCAAGTCCTTGTCAATGCACAACTAAAAGTTAGCATGCAGTTGCAGCAAGCCATTAGGACAGTAAATGGTATGTTGGCATTCATTTCATGGGGATATGGGTTTAAATGGAAGTAAAGATGTCTTGCTGGAATTGTATCATGCCTGGAATATTGTGTACAGTTTTGGTCTCCTTTCCTAAGGAAGGACATACTTGTCATTGAAGGAGTTCAAGGGAGGTTCACCAGATTAATCTCCGGAATGATGAAATTGTAGGTGATCACATTGAAGCTTGTACACTTTTATAACGTTTGACAGGATGGATATCAATAAATTGTTCCCCTGGCTGCTGACTCTAGAACCAGGGGATATAATCTCAGAATAAGGGACAGGCCATTTAAGACTGAGATGAGGGGAAATTTCTTCACTCGCATGATAGTGGATCTTTTGGAATTTGCTGCTCCAGAGGGCTGTGGAAGCTCCATCATCTTGCAGGTTCAAGACAGAAATCAATAGATTTCTGGAGTGGAGGCAAAATGGCGTTGAAGACACAATTAGCTCTGATCCAGAATGGTTGAGCAGACTTGATGGGCTGCATAGCCTATGCCCCTTCCTGTGCTCCTCTGTTCGTTTCTGTAGTTGCAGTAAAACCTGACTCTGTCTGAACTAACAAATCCTCCAGTACTTTTGCTGTTCTACTCTAATTCTTCCCCTCATGTGCACCTGAGCCCCTTGTCATGTCCAAAATTGAAAATGGTTAGCGAGTGAGCTTGCCTTATGAGATCCCTGCAGTACTTGCTTGGTTTTCCTTGACCGACTGTATGCTCCTGCCCTATGCTGTGACCATTTCTCTAAAAAAGCTATTCTCCTTCGCTTCCTATTCACTGCCTTGTGAATGCATCACAATAACTTCAGCTATTACTCGAGTTCCAGAACCTGCAGCTTTGGCTTCTGCAGTTGTTAGTGGCTTCCTGTAAGGCTGTTTGTCTAGATTGAGTGATGTATCCATAATTTTGTCACATTTCACCTGGTCAAGCTGCTATGTTGTGGCATAACTTAAACTGTTTATTATAAGTGGAATAACTTGGCACTTATTCACTAGTCAGTTTCTTCCCCAATACCAGTGTGGGAAGCAAATTCCAAATTGAGTGATAAAGGTAGAAAAATTAAGCATCTCGCCTCCTTTCACCTCCAATCCCTCCGTTCATTGAACTCCTTCACTTACTAAACTTGAAGCTCCTCATTGAGCCCAAGCTATATTGAATCTAATCTGCACTCCGACCCCTGTATTGAACTGCCTGAAATTCGAGTCAGAAACCAAATTGATGAAGCTAATGTATTCCCTGCGGAAGGCTGGAGAAAACGTTAACTAATTCAGAAAGATTCTCTCACACACCACAGTCTCAATTTATCACTCTTTCCAACCATACTGTGTTATAGAAAAATATTAAGTTGTAGAGACACAAAATGATTTGCGTGTCTGTGACTGCAAATTAGTGTGGACAAGTATAGAAAGTAATTGAACCCATGAAATGTTCTTTAACACAAGATTTCAAATAACAAAGGGTGAAACTTAAGTTATGCAGAATTTTGTTGAGATTCCATTTGGTGTACAACACTGACTTTTGTGCAGAAACTTGTAAAAAATGTTTCAGCCCTAGAAGCTGTATGATGCCCATTTAGCAGAATAATGCCAGGCTGTGAGAAGTAACATTTTAACGACAAATCAAATAGTCTTGGTACATATTCCTTTGAGTTTGAATGGTTGAGAGCAATTCTAGTTGAAGTATTATCATAACCATAAGTCCTCATTTTACCCACCCCAAACTGCTTTAATTTCAGTTTAAGGTACCTGGCTGGTGGATTTATTTGGTGGGCAGTACCTATCGCATGTGGAGGACCGGAGTGCTTAATACACTTGTTGTGGCTAGCAGTTGTTTCTGGTGGTTGGATGCAGTGTTGGTGGAAAACAAAGATATAGGAAGCGAAGGAGAATCCACCAACTGCTATCTTTGGCTGATGGGAAGAATGATGATGGCCTATTAGGTAGGGATGAGATGATAGAATTTAATAAATATGACAAAAGAGTGGGGACATCATTTGGTACAGCTTATCGCTAGAAATCTATTGTTTTGAGCTAAAAATGGAGATTTGTAGACAGATGTTTTAGAAAAACTATCTGGCATGTATTTAAAAAAAATTCATAGATCTTGATTCTGGAGGTGAAGAAGACAGTAGTTTATACCTTGCAAAGTTTTTACACAGTCTAACTTAAAAAGGGCATGTCACCACATTTAAACTCCAGAAAGGAGCAGCCTTAATATTGATATAGAATTGTAATGAATAAAATAAGATCAAAGACACAGAAGCAGAATTAGGCCATTTGACCTGTCAAGTCTGTTTCAACATTTGATCATGGCTGTTAAGTTTCTCAAACCTATTCTCCTGCCTTCTCCCCATAACCCTCTATCTCCTTACCAATCAAGAATCTATCTATCATTGTCATAAATACACTGAATGACTTGGCCTTCATACCCTTCCTCAGCAAAAGATCCACAGATGCAGCACCCTCTGATAAAGTACTCCTCATCTTCGTTCAAAAGATTGTCCCTTCACTCTGAAGCTGTGCCGTGGGGTTCTATTCTCTCCTACTAGTGGAAACATCTCCTCCATGCCCACTCTATTCAGGCCTGTCAGTATTCTGTAAATTTCAATCAGATCCCCCCCGCCCTCATCCATCTAAACTCCAAGTACAGACCCAGAGTACTTGACCATTCCTCATACAAGCCCTTCATTCTCAGGATCATTCTTGTCAAACTCATCTTAACTCCTTTCAACACGAGCCCATCCTTACTAGATGTAGGGCCCAAAACTGCTCACAATATTCTGAATACGGTCTGATCAGAGGCTTTTACAGCCTCACCAGTACATTTTTGCCCATCTGTTCTAGCCCTCTGGAAATGAATGCGAACATTGCATTTGCCTTCCTAACTGCAAACTGAATGTTCATGTTAACCTTAATAGAATCCTCTTACCTTATTTAATAGACTCCAGTGTAGTATCTTGTCAAAGGCTTCTGGAAACCCAAATAGATCATGTCCACTGGCCCCTCTTTATCTAATTTGTTTGTTACCACCTCAAAGACTGCTAACAGATCTGTCAGGCGTGACCTCTCCTTGACGAAGCCATGCTTATTCAGTCCTATTTTACCACATCCAAGTACTATCACAATCTCATCATTGATAATGGACCCTAAAATCTTACCATCAACAGACGTCAGGTTAACTGGCCTATAGTTTCCTGTCTTTTGCCTTCTCCCTTCTTAAACAGGGATGTTACGTTAGAAAGCTTCCAGTCTTTTGTTTTGCTTTGACCACATATGGACCAACTGCACAAAGCAAATGTTTAGTTTTCCTGCAATGTTCAATTTAATTTTGATTTTTTTTTTTGTTTATCTTACGGAATTCATATTAGAAGTAAAACCAATAAAACATTTGAGAGAAATTATTTTATTGGGTCAACTTAAGTGAAACTGAGTAAATTGCCATAGACCATTAAAAAGTAACTGTTATCCTGGTTGCAGAGTATATGCAGCAAACTGGGGGACAGGCACATCTCTTTTTCTGGTTAACCGTGGAAGGATACAGAGTTACTGCACAGCAGCAGCTCGACGTTTTGCGAAGTGCACAAAAGGATGGAAAAAGACAGAGCAATCAAACCAAAGGACTATTGCGTGCTGCAGCTGTTGGTGTTTATGATCAGTATTTGTCAGAAAAGGTAAATTTATACCATTCTCTTAGCTTGAAATAGAGTCCATAATATGCTTCCACGTGTCATACTGTCTTATCATTTTAGTCAAATGGTTATGACTTGAAACTGTAGTTCAGGAACTTGAAAACATATTTTTGCTGGACACTTTTATGCAGCATTTTTATGTGGTCTTTTGGTTAAAATCTTAATCTGTCTGCTGATTTCAAATTTCGCATGGCACAATTTGAAGAAGAGTAGGGAAGTCCTCTTGAATAGTTGGCCAACATTTTGTACTCAACAAACAATCTTGAAAACAAGACGCAGATTATGATATCATTTATTTCATTGTTGTCTGTGGGGCTGAATGTCTTGCCTCTGCTGAAAAATGCTCTTGTAAAGGAATGTTCTTGTATTTCAAGTTTAAATGTTATCTTTACCTTCTGTTCTGTGTAACATCAGTGGTTTTTTCCAGGTTAATTGAAGTGGTTACCATAACTGAACTGTTTGAACTATGCCTAGCAATTTGTGACTGTCAAGTTAATTATCCATCAGAACATTAGCCTGCTCAAAAGGACACATTCTAAGGAGTCATCATAGTTTAATAATTTATTCAATGATTTTTGAGGGCAAGGAAAATATTTTGACTCGTTTTTGCAACCCACTGAATGAGGAGTT